CGAACATACTTTATTAAGCTGTTGGGATGTTCCTGCTTGTCCCTATGTTCTATTGCCTGACATAACTCTAAGGATTCACACATTTTAAATTATCAAGCAGTCACCATTTCAGGGTTAGAGGCCACTCATATGCCTCATTTTTAATGGAAAAGGGCATTTCCCTAGCAGATCCTCCAGCAGGTATGAAGATGTCAGCTACCTTTGCAAATAATCTGTCACATCTCTGCAGCAAAAGGGGCTGCATCATATAATCACTCCTGGAGTAAAAATCCTGCAAAATCTGTCACTAGGGAGTTGATGTGAAAGAGGCCAGCACACTCGAAGCCTGGAGTGATGTCAGCCAATTTAGTAGTGCTTTCTGCAAGTTATATTTAAATGACCCTAGACATGAGTATTTCTTTCTAAAGCATGTTGTCTTTTTTCCCGTAGAATCCATTGTTCAATTCCAAACATAGAACATTGAAACAATTGTCTTCTTCGGAGTAGGGTCCACGTAGGCTGTCATCTTTTAGACTGGATGATCGGTTTGCATCCTCTGCCTGGAAGCACCTGGAGCCATGAAGCTTTGTCCTCCTGTGGAGGTGGCACGGGGTGTGAAGATGCTTCTTTTTGTTTCTCAAGAGCAGCACTTCTAGTCTCGCATCTCACAATAGTCGTTTCATGGAATTTAGTTCAAAACAAAAACCCAGCTTGTTCTGAAGTAGCAGCCGCGCCAGAATTATCCAGATACACAAAGATATCCTTTGTTATGGCGGTACTGAAAAGGTAGCCATTCAAAGAGACTTTTGTTAGCTCAATGCTTTCTGTCTTTAGAGAAGTGTAAGGGCGTGGGGCAGAAGAGAGATTAAGTACAAGCAAGATTTCAAGTCAAAACCCACATAAGTCACACAATGATGGAGTGTCAGCACTCCCCTGAAAATATTAAGAGCTTAAGCTTTACAAAAAACGTTTGGTTTAAAAAAAAAAGCATTAAAATATTCTGGTGACACATGCTGCAGAATGTTAAAAAACACAAGTTTTGAACCAAGTTCAATTCTTATACTGACTAAAAGTGTGTAACATACAGATAGTCCTTGACTGATGGCTGGTCATGTAACGACCACTCAAAAGTTACAATGGCCTCGGAAAGGATGTTTTACAGCTTGTGAAGCATTTCCAGCCATCATGAAATGTTGCGATGCCTCCCTGCAGTCCCATGACCACATTTAGGGCACACAGCAACCGGTTCACATTTACCACCAGTCGCAGCGTCCTCTGGCCATGTGACCCCCAATTTGCAATGGTTGTGGGGTTTTTTTTGCCAGTTTCTGGCATTTTTCCATTGGGGAAAAAATCAGGTCAGTCAGTGGTGCGTCAACTTCTGGTCGCAATGGCTTACGACCAAAATTCTGGTCCCAACTGTGGCCATAAGCCGAGGACTAGCGTTACACCTTTAAGTAATGGTTAAGAAAGTACTCTTGGATTTTAAACTCAATCCCTACAAAACATTCAAGAGATCATGTTTTAGAGCATTCTTTTCCAGACAGATTTACTGCAACACATGGGCAGTTGAGAGCGAAGAATTAAAATGACCCGACTGAGTCTCTTTAGGAAGCCCTCCAAAAGAGCTTCCTTAAATGAAAAAAAAAAACCCTCCCTATGGCTGCTAGGGAAGCCTGACAGTAGGGGTGTTCTTTTGGTCCTGCAAGAATCCATATGATTCTTAGCTGGCAACAAAGAGGGGGTGTTTCACTTGTTGCCATCACTTAATTTGGATATAGAATATTCTTTCAACATGCTGCAAAAGATTCTGGAGCACACAGAGCATTGGACAGTATCACAGATACTCTTTTGATTTTATTTCTCTATTAGTAGAGAAATATGCATAGACGTGTCTCAATTGGCTTTCAAAATATCTTTATTTTTTTTTCCAAGCTGTAAATGCTACCCCATTTGGCTAGGATTAAACCAGTGGTTCTCAACCTGTGGGTCGGGACCCCATTTGGGGTCGATCGACCATTTCATGGGGGTCGCCAAGCAAGGCTGTCCGCCATTTTTTTTGTCCGCCATTTTTTTCCCCTTTTCCGGCGGGTGCCTTACCTCCCTTGGGCTGGGCCAGCTGGTGGTCGGCCTGCTCCGTCTCTGCTGCTTGCCAGCTACGCCTCGGCCGGCGCAGGGGGCGGAACCACGCATGCGCAGCACTCCCGGGCAAAGTCCTCGACTTACGACCGGTTGGGTAGTCCTCGACTTACGACCGGTTTAGTCCTCGACTTACGACCGGTTTAGTCCTCGACTTACGACCGGTTGGGGTCACGGCATTAAAAAGGTTGAGAACCACTGGATTAAACCAATGTTTTTCAACTTTAGCAATCTCGAGATATATGGACTTCAACTCCCAGAACTCCCGAACCAACATTGAATTCTGAGAACTGAAATTCACATATCTTAAAACTGATAAAAGTTGAGAAACAAATATTAAACTCTGCTCAGAATACTACTTTGTTGCTCTTACTGATCGTTTTTGGGAGCAGAGAAGATTAGGCAGCTACTCTGAGATTTGCCTCAATCAACTTCTGATTACCTCATTAGAATATGGACATTAACTACACCTCACAGATACTGGTCTTCTTCACATGCTTCAGGTCAGTAAGAAATTGAAAACTGGGCCTACAACGCTCCCAGCTGTTCAAGAAGACCAACGCTCATCATATTGGGGAATTAAATAGGGAGATCAGAAGCCTCTCCCACTCAAAATGCTGGAAGAAACATATTTTCAATCCATGTATCTCCACCCAAAGTCAGTTTAGCAATTGCAATACTGAAGTTCTGTTAGAAATATAATCAGCAAAACTTCATACAAGTGCTCCTTCCTAATTAGCCTAACACAACAACAGATCAGAACAGAAAAACAAGAACCTACAGGCTCTACGTGCTCAGATAAAAATCTTCAGATAGTTAAGATATTACAGATGTAATAATAGAAATGCAATATCTAAATCTCATTGCTGGTAGGGAACTGGGTGCAAATGAAACTCAGCTTTTGACATCAATCACTGTGCTGGGCCTTGCCAACTTTTAGCATGGGGTTTCTTAATGGAAAAGGAGTGCAAATGAGACACATTAATGCTTAAAGGAACTCTGGGGGAAATCCAAAATCTCCACTCCCAGCAGAATAAGTACAAGGGAACCACAAAGAGCAGCAGGGCAAGCTTACACACTTTAAAGTTAGCAAAGAAATACACATTGCCTTCCAAAATATTCCCTTTCTTGTTATCATGATGTCTGGACAGAACATCCCAAAATTTCATATATTTTAGGAAGAAAGTGATGATTTTGTAGAGTTCAAGTAAACCACCTTATGAAAGAATCAAGGGAAATGGAGCTTTCTCTGTTAACAGGCCGTAGTGGGGGAATGTCCAAAGGTAAGATCCAGGAGAAACCTTGATCCTATCTATATATTAATCTGCAGTTAATTTCACCAAACTCTCAAAATGGTAAAATAATGGCAACATTATTTTATCATAAAAGAACTGGAATAACTTCCATATTCTTTTGGAGTGAATTTTGCTACACACTTTTAAATTCTGGAAACAATAAAGGAATCGTGCATTTTTGTTTCCTTGTGTATTTGTGCATCTAGAGGAGTATATATTCTCCCCAAGATGTAAACACAAGACAGAAGGAAGATGCAGATTGCCATTCCCCCCCCCCATTCTTGCATTTAAATCTTGACATCTATCCAGCAGAAGCATCTCTTAAATTAGCAGAACTCAAATATAAGCTTCTCTTTTCAGATAACTGATAATCAAAGCCACAAAAACACAAGATTTTAGCAGCCACAGTATACCTACTGACTTTGTCTTCTACACTGCAGTAAAACTGAGATTACAGGTCTGAAAAGTAGAGTCACTACAGCTGTCTGATGTACAACACCAACATGCACATATTTTACTTACGGCCTGTATTAGCCTGCCAGGGCCAGTCTGCCTCCCTGAAGCAAAACTGAATTCCAGCCCAATGCCCAGACTTGCTAGGACTCTATTTGCTAGGACTGACTTTAGTTTAGATTTAGGCCTGCAGCTTTCCGTGTATAACATTCTATTGTTCTATTTAACATTAGTTAGCATTACAACAGTGGGTACAAACTACGTACCCATGACATTACCAAGTGCACAGTTCTGCTCTGGAGGAAAACAAATATTCTCAGTCCGAGTGGCTTTTTCCTCCTTTAAAGGTCCATGATTATTTGGCAGGCTTGGCTGTGCTGTAAAAGGCCTGGGAAAGGAATCTTGTAGGCGGTGGAATAATTTCTACAAGATCTGCTTGTGAGTCGACACATGTATGTATGTATGTTTAACACTGGCAAGAGTCCTGTTATGATAAGCAGACAAAAGGCATCTGGTGGCTCTGCGACGTGATGGGAATGACCGCACAGTGGTCTCTTCCAGTCTAAACCACCCGTCCCATAGCAGAACATTTGTAGAGTCCAATGTTACAGCCCAGGGAATCCACTTCCAGTGTAAGTAGTATTTGTGTGTATGAGTGCTCCATTTCTTCCTTGAGCAAGATAAGGAGGATCATGAGAAGAAGAACCATGAGGACAGAGAGTTATGTCACTGATAGCCATCCACAGCAGAACACAGTATCCAACTCTCCTAGGGTACTTTTTCCGTAAGAGTTTTCCCTGGCGGACAGGAACAGTGCTAAGATGTCTGCACAAAAGGAGCCCGTAAAAGAATCCGAGCCCCAAACTATCACAGCACAAAAAACAGAATAAGCACCACCACAAGGATAACAAGGAGGATGATAATGGCACACCACTGTCTTCGATCTGCCAGTAAAAACAAAATCAAGAGGAAGAGAAATTAGCTGTATGCTTGCCAGAGATGCTAGCTCTTTTCACCGAGAACAATGCTAGAGTTAAGTTAGGACTGGGGGGAGGGGAGGGGGGAGAGACAGCAATTAAGAAAAAACATGGGTGTTAAGGGAGACCTTCTGCAAAACAACCCACTTAGATATCGGGACACGTCAATCAATATGGTATGCACCACAAACAACTCACTCCTTGATATATCAATTCCCCGAATCAATGGCAGCCTATTACTTTTTACCAGCATTTTTTATTAATTGCTCTTTGTTTATTACATCATTTTATATGGCCACTCATCTCATAGATGCAACTGGGCAGCTGTCAACACATTAAAAACAATAAAAAACATTATCAATAAAACCTAAAAACTTATAATGGACATCAAGAAAAAAAAAATCTAAAGCCAGTAGGCAAGGCTTGGGCCACCTAAACCAGGGGTAGGCAACCTCGGCTCTTTTATGACTCATGGACTTCAACTCCCAGAATTCCTGGCTCAATTCCTGGAGTTGAAGTCCATGAGTCATAAAAGAGTCGAGGTTGCCTACCCCTGACCTAAACCTACGACTTTTGTGGTCTGAAGCACATACAAGTCTTCCATGCTTTGCAAAAGTGTCAGGTGCCAAATTAATCTCTTTTTTAATTATTTTAATTTTCTATCTTCTGACTTTAAGGTTGCACTTTTATTTTCTCAAACAGTACAGACTTCGCAGGTCTGAAACAAGTGGCTTGAGACATCCGACTGATGTAGAGGCTGCAGCTGCTGAAAACTCTCTTGCCTTGCACGATGGAAAAATTGACATTTTATTACAGTTTTGTTAGATTTCAGGCTACTTACCATTAGTCATATGGGATGCTTTTGCAAGTTTCTTCATAACGTTATCTAGTCGAGACTGGGTGCTGTCCACCTCATGAGAGAAATCATCCAACATGCTGCAAAAGCATAGGAACAGGGCATTGATTTATGTTCTGGACGGATGTTGTTTCTTCACTAGCATTTTATAGCATCGCCTAACACTGTTCCTGTGTTCATTATTGATATAACAGCATACGCATGAACTGAATATTAGAAGCCTGAGGTCCCTATGATGCAATGGCCTAGGCGCTGAAATTTGACATAAGAAAAGTTAGGCAAGATGTTACAAAAAGTTGTTACCTAGCAGAGAAGTAGATATAATTTGGAAGAGTCTTGGAGTCTACTTCCTCGTGAGACTTGATTGTAGCTATCATTTTTCTTTTCTCTCTTTCGGCCATTACCTTCCCCACAATTTTCCCTTCTTCATTTATTCATTCTGTCTCTCTCACACAAAGTTCACACGCTCTTTCACTTATATATAAATTTTCTTATACCACAGCCTTTCAAATCAATTATTACAAAAAATTCCACCTATAAGTTACATAAGACACATGTAATTATCTCCTATCAGTATTAGTAATGGTAAGGATACAAATCCCTTTCCCATTTCAGCCATCTATCTGTTTGTTACTGTTCTAATCCTATCTTATCTATTGGGGTAATCAGCAGGTATGTTCAAAAATATTTTGTCTTCTTGATGAATAGAAGAGCAACAAGGGTAGGGATAATTTCAAATGGGAAATAATTTCTTAGTTCATACTGGCATCTTCCTATCCCATAACTATTTTTATTTTCTAAAAATTCTTTATATACTTAATATCTAATTTGGAAAATAACTGACATTACAAAAATACAAATTGAGGAGTAGTATACGTGTTTGTTTTCAAACATTATTTTTTCAGATGTAATAGAAAAGCAGAAGCTTAAAGTTAACTGGACAGGATTGGGAGAATTGTAATAATGAATTACTGAAACTCTTTAAGAAGCAAGCAAACTGATTGCTTGAGTGTATTTGTGAGAAGCAATTATCTCCAGAAATAAAAAATATTCTAAATGGCAGATTCTATTAGTAAATTTCCTCTTTGTCTGCACTGGTACTTTTTATCAATGTCTACCACCCTGAATGAATAGTTTCTTTGAGTTCCATTTGTTCATTCCAAAATGTGTTTTAAGGATGAACGACTTTGCTTTTATTTTTTTGGTTTGTACAGATAAGGACTCATGCTGCTGATTCCATTTCATGCAAGCAGAGTTTCAATTTGCTTAATACTCACACAGCTTGTTCATCCAACTCCCCTCCAATGCGTTGGGACATATTCTTTAGTACTCCAATACTTCCAGAGACCAGCTCCAACTGTTCATCCTGTTGATCAATGATTAACTGGAACACAGAACAGAGAGGTGGGTGAGGGGACAGGAAGAGAGAGGAAAGAGTTACGTAGTTCAAATTATGCATTGAAAAGATAATTGGCTTCTGACTGCAAAATGCTCTATCTTCTTGAGCATCCAGAGAATACCTTGAAGAAAAAGTTCATCTTGCCACAAAAATGACTGAAAAGTTATCCTTTCCCCCTCTGAACATTTTTTCCTAAAGAAAAAAAATCCCACCTTACAGGCCTGACCAGATCTGAAAAGGAAAACTGAATTCCTTCACCCATGGTTTGTCTAGCTAGACTCTCAATAATATTTTTTAATTTAAATGGGTATGAGTTCTTGATAAACTGGAGAATGACATGCCAACATTCAGAGAAGGGACTTCCTTGACTCAAAGCCCAGTTCAGGGATATCTTTAACCCTGAGAATGTGTATCTATGTGTGGGAGAGGAGCATGCTCATTTCTGTGTCTTCGTACAAAGCAGAAAAGATTCATTCCTACTTGCTATCGGTACCAAATATATGTGTCTCCCTGGATTTCCCTTGTTCTTCATTTGGATACTGTGTCAGGTTGTGTATGTGGGTTGAATATACAACTGGCCACTCCCAGACACTCTTTGAGAAAGAAATGCTCTTATCACCTTGAAGGCATGATGCTCACTGTCACCTCCTGACTCCCCCAATCTGAAATACAAATGCGAATGTATCCCGAGGTTGCATATGAATCTCACCTATTATCTTAAGAGCCTGTGAGATTTCTGGGTGAAAGCCTCATCTAGAAATCCCATTCTATAAGTGGCTAGTTGGAATCTTTGCACAGACAGACAGATCCAGACTACCTGCTGCTGTGCTTGCTGATCTTCAATGAAGTGTGAATTTGCAGACTGCAGTTCTCGATCCAAGCGGCTGTATTTGTCCGTCCCGGAACTCCAGCTGTGAGTTCTACTTTCTCCCAGAAGCACCTGCATAAGAATAGGGAATAAAAGGATCAGTTATTGCATGTTATTGAAATTGAACCCTTGCAAGACAGAGATGCTGTTTGCCCAAAAACACATGGATCTCTGTCATCTCCGGATTAGATTCTAGATGGGCTGGCACTCGCTTGAAGCAGCAGACGTCATATTTGAGGGTTCTCCCGGATTCACAGCTACTGCTGGATTTGCAGGAAGAGACTAAGGCGAGGGGATCTTTGCTCAGCTTTGACTGATGCGCTGGTGGCAGTCCAACCTTGAGTGGGACGTCTTGGTGCCAGTAACTCATGCTCTCACCACCTCTAGGTTAGACTACTGCAACATGCTTTAATGGGGATGCTTCCGAATATTATTTATAAACTGCAACCGGTGCAAAAGGTGGTGGTCCACATACTGACACGCGAGAGTAATACCTACTACAGCTGTACTGACTTTCAGCTGGCTTCTTGGCTCAATTCAAAGTGCTGCTTTTAATAACATGAAGCGTAACATAAAACATAGATGCCTCTCTACTATCTACAGGAGTCTCTCTTTCAAGAAATACCATCCGCACATCCCAAGAAGGGATTTTTTTAACATTCTCCCCATCTAAGAAGTTGGGGGGGAGGGGGAGAGAATGGAGAAACAGAAGCAATCTTTCTCTGTGCAGCCCTTTTGCTTTTGAATAACATTTTCCAGAGAAGATTTATTAGGCACTCACTAGCTTTCTTTTAGAAAGCCATTACAATAGTATTGTTTAACAGAAATTTTTGGCTTAGGGCTATCATAATCGGTTAACTGATGCTTTTTAATCATTATCAGTTGTATGTGGGGGTTTGTTTGACTGTTGTATTCCATTCAGTCTCTACTAAGGGGGATGGACTATTAACACTGTAAATAAACCAACAAACAAACCCACTCTGTTATTTTAAACTGTTTATTAGCTATTTTGATCGTATTTGTTTTTATTTAAAACCTCCAGAATGTATGGGGCATGCAAGAACGATAAAGCAAATGGACAAATGCAACATATAAATCTTATGACTCAGACTGATTTCATCACATTTCCAAAATCAGATGTTTAAGACTCAGTAAGTTTCTATTTTCAATGCTGCTGCTGCTACTGCTATAGCTCAGTTTTCAAGCAGGTTATTAAGAAGCAATCTCCTCTACAAAAGGAAGAAAAAAAATCATACTAGTTTGAAACTAAGTTGTTAAAGAGAAGATGAACTATAGTAATGACAAATGGCCAAGAAGAAAGCTCTGCTTATTTTAATCTATGTTTACATCTTAACTTTGCTGTTTCAGAGCTATGTCAGACCCAGAACAGTATGAACATGCAAGATTTGACTATTAATTTTTAGAAAAGCTTGTATCTGCACAGTTTAACATGTACAGGCAATACTTAAGAATAATATTCTGTTTATATAGCTTTAAAGGGCACACAAATAGATGTCTGTTCACTTGAAATCCAATCAGTCTTGAGCTCTTAGTATATCCAGGAGAGGCTCAGGGAACTGATTGGCTTACCAGCATCTCTTCTCCATAGCAAGACAAAGGTACTGCTGCTGCCCCATACAAACTCATCTTCCACCAAAGCTATATCTATATTTGGAAATTCATGGTTTCTGTCTTCAGCAGCCCCAACATTCACTTCTTGATAGATTATCAATGTGAGCATAATAATAATTCCTTCCCATCCATTAATCTAGGGGGAAAGCATGAACCAAGTCCGGTATGCTTTCTGGACTAAGGGAACCTTCCCTTTTAAGTGGGTAGCTAATGTTACAACTAAACACCTAATATAAACACTCCAGTCACAACTAACAAAGTTGGCATCCAAGATGCAAGGTAATCCAGTTATCAGTACTTACCTGCCTGTTTTTCTTTTCAGCCAGAGCTTGAACAGAAGTATTTGACATTTGATCCTTCATATCCTATTGTTTTTTTAAAAAAATATATATATAAGTTAGCATAATTGACTGATACGGGTAGTTCAATCACCATAAAATAATTTATGTGACAAATAAAACCCAACTACATTGTCTTTTTCTTGCTTTGTTTTCTTTGGAAATGTTCCAGTAACAAAAAACCTTGTAAGTATTAATTCAGGGTCAATAAGCAGATATTCATCTGCATATTTATTTCAGGAATCAGACTAAATATAATCCACTGGAAAAGGAAATGGCGATGCAATACCAGTATTTTGCCAAGAAAACCAAATGGACATTCACGAACAGGACAATGACAACATGATATTGGAAGATGGGCCCTTCAGCTAGGAAACTATTTCACAAGTGCTGCGGAACAGTGGAGGACAAGTACAAGCAGCGCCAGTGTTTATGATGTGGCTGGGTTAAAGCTGAAAGAATGCCAAACTGCTGATATGGCAAGAGGGGAAAAAAAGTTTGATGCTGCAAAGATATGTATATCACTGGTTTATGGAATGTTGCCAAGTTTATAGTCAAACTAAACTTGATATTGCACAGCAAAGTCAGGATTGAATACTGACAATGTAGGAATTGGCAACTTGGAATGTAGTGCACATCAGTGTCAAATCCTTGGTGAACAAGAAAAACATAGAATAGAAGGAGTAGCCAATTAGCTATCATTATTAGAAAAAGATATGAAACATAGTACCCAAACACAACTTCCCAAGTGACAGAATAATCTCAATTTGAATCCAAGGCAAGCTAATCAGTGTTATAATTCTAAATTTATGTTTCAGCCACAGATGCAAACAAAATATAAGTTGAACAGTTCTATATGAAATAATGGGGGAATTTGGCCTTGGTGCACAAAACAAAGCCGGAAACAGAATAAAAACAAAAGATAAAATTCATAGAAAAGAGGTAATACAAATGTACAGAAAAATTCTACAAAAAGCATCTCAAAATTGATATGTCTAAAGGTTTGATCATGGAACTAGAGCCAGACATTCTGGTCAGCAAAGTTAAATGAACCCTAAAAATTATTTCTAATGCTAAAGTTCTAGAAATCAATGAAATATTCTTTTCAACATCTTACAACATGATAAAGATACAGATAAAATGTTACATACAATAAGTACAGGTAGTCCTTGACTTATAACTGGTCACTTAGTGACTGATCAAAGTTATGACAGAGTCCCCAAAGAGTTCTTATGACCCAGTTCCAACAGCTGCCAACATCAAGTCATTGCATTTGGGGCACATGGCAACTGGCCTGCGTTTATGACCATTTGCAGTATCATACAACGGTCATTTACAACATTCAGTAACTGTTACTAAAACACAAGTTAGCCAGGAAAACAAGGAACCAACGGAAAGGAACTCAACCCTCCCCTGCTTGACTCTCTTTAATTCAAGGGGAAGAAAGGGGAAACACTCTCAGGCTTTTAAGATTCTGTTATTATGGCCTACTACATCAATAAAGTAAAATACTAGTATTTCTTGTGGTATCTCAATCCTGACAGGGCTTCTTGAAGACCTCATAGCCAGATTTAAAAAAAGGTTGACAAAAAGCAAGCTGGCTAGTTATTACCACTGATACCTTCTGTTTACAAGAACTCAAAGGAGCGATCGCTATTAAAGATAATCTAGGAGAAATAATGTTCACTATGACATAAAGAATTAGAAATGACTTGACAAATGAGCAAACCACAACAAATATGGAAACCCAGAAATAAAATACTTTAAAAAAATACTTAAAGCAGGCATCTTGAGAACTACTGTAATGCCACAATCTAGAGCAGGGGTAGTCAACCTTGGCTCTTTTATGACTCGTAGACTTCAATTCAAGTCCACGAGTCATAAAAGAGCCAAGGTTGACTACCCCTGCTCTAGAGACCCAATGCTCCCTATCTGGTATAAAGGCATTTTGTTTTTTGTATTTTCATGAATTCTGCCTTATAGTATTGAGGGAAGTGATGGATTGCCATTGTAGAAAATGACAAAAATCCTGTTTTATTAAAACAGAGATAAATATTGTTAAGCTATTTTTATGACCTGCCCTCAGAAACATTGCACGAGCAAAGTTCTGTTTTTGTTCATGAACAGCAATTTTGTGAGATATCTTCATTTTCCGTTTAATTTCATGGTGAAATTATGCTGTAACAAATAGATAGAATTTTTTGGGACTATATCATAGCGTGGCCTCAAGAAAGTCAAGTGTCTTACCCTGACCACTTGCCGAGTGCTTGTGATGAAGGCTTTTCTCACACCTAGTTCTGTGGCATCAAGGTTGAATTTCCGAGGATTTGCTTCAACAATGCGTTGAGAATAATCAGTTAAGGGATTACATTTCAAATGCAGTTTTTACTTATATATTTTCATGAAACCTTTAAAAATTAATAGTGTTAGTACACAAGGAAAAACTAGTCTATCAGCATTTTTAAAACTGCTATGCTCTTATGACTGGGCTAAAACCATTATTAACAATGCTACAGAATTCGATTTTGACATCTTTTGCTGGCTAGGTGCTTCTTAGAGTTACACTATTAAAAGTATTTTCCTCTAATAAGGTTCCATTTGTGACTACAGACTGCGTAAAAGGCAAGCAACATATATATAACAACTTTATACCCTGTGTAAATGTACAAAGGTATCCATTTATAAAGTGTATGTCTTATACTTTTATAAAGGACAGAAGTTATATAATTCTGGGTTCAACAACTGCTCCAAAATAAGTTGGATGAGAACTTGTAATTATTATACTGAATAATTTTAGGGAAAAACCATTTGGTTGCTTGCCTAGATACTATGTGAGTTTATTTAACTATTCACACCAAGAACAAAAAGGATATTAATTGTTTCATCTAAATCTTCAAGATCCCACTCAATACTCCTTAAGTTGTTCCTTAGCTCATTTGTGGTCCAGTCAATTTCTTCTCTTGTAGCTGTTGACGGATCTTGTAGGAGTTCTGTCCATCTCTGGAACAACCCCTGAGCAGTATTAACTGCCTTCTGAACTTCCCTGGAAGTGAAAGGAAGAGGAAAATCCTCATGAGTGTTCACATAGATAAGGTGTCATCATATAAACTATAAGTATCATGATATGAGACTGCATGTCTCCAGTAAAACTTTACTTTATAGACTAGTGAATCAATAAAAAAAACCTGATCCTTCAGCCTGAACATGAAATGCATGCATACAGCCATTTTTCATATACATAATAATGTACATAGGACTTACAGTAGCTCATCTATATAATGGTGCATTTCTAGCTTTAATTTGTATATATTTTCCCCTATGTATGAAGGGTGAAATTATATCATAACTAAGAACCAGACAGAACTGATAGTTTACTCTTCTATCTCTCTACTACACAAAATATAGTGCTGAGTGGGTATGAATGATCCCCGTGATCTTTTTGGTGGAGGGAAATGATTTGAAGAATTTATCATTCCCCTTTTTAAACTCCTATAATGCTACTGAAGTTTCTAAAGTGGCTTGAAAAATGTTGTTTGAAAACCATATCAGTAGGGATTTAAATATCTCTTGCAAGGAAAGGATGGGGTGGAGGGATTAGGAATGGACTGATATCAGGTAGACTAGGCTATGGCAGTCCAAGGAACACACTGAATATTTCCAGATTGCAAATAACACGCTGCTGATTATGCTGGTCTCCGACAGTAATAAAGATTGATTTGACATGTTGGTAATTCAACATCATAAGGACCAATTTTAGACAAATTTGTGTCAGAAAACTCAAATGGTGCACAGTGTATTATGCAGTTAAATCAGATTGTATTAACTTTCCATAACACAGCAGCTGAAGCACCAAATTTGGATTTAGGAGGACAAAGATTCCATTTCCTCACTTCTCCAAAAAGGGCAAAGAAAGGGAAAGGGTCGCTTCAAAGGACGTTCGTTCTAGCTGTACCCATTCATCTCCTTTTTTTATTTACAAACATCTTTCTTAAGTTTAAAAAACAAACATTAAAATACAAAATAACAAATGTTAAAAAAAGGGAGGAGAGTAACAGGACAGGTTAAAAAGTGACAAAAAAAAACAAATATATAACAAAAGTGACTTCCAACATATTTCAGTACACAGATAATACAATTCAACAACTCTAATTTAAACAAGTAACTAATATTTAAACTGTCTTAAATATTAATAAACACCCTAAAAGATCAATATTCATATTATATCCTCTTAATTTGAATATAATAAACGTATTTTTAAAAAATACAATATTCATGTAGTTAAATCAGATTTAATCCTCAAACCCCAAAGTCCAAAGATGATTTTTCTCTTCATGTTGTATGAAATGTAATAGTGGTCTCCCGTAACAAGCAATTTTGTCAGGTTATTGCCTTTAAGGAAAGCAGTCAAATTTGTCATCTCATCTAGCTCCAGCATTTAATGATATCTATTAATAAATGTTCGCTTATTGAAAAATGTTCAACTGAGTCCATCTTAAACTTTTGAAGTATTTCACAACTGATAAAACTTTCAAAAAATATACAGCCGTATTCTGCAACTGTTTCATTTTCATTCATCTAAGTCAGTGGTGGTGAACCTATGGCATGGGTGCCAGAGGTGGCACTCAGAGCCCTCTCTGTGGGCACGTGCCCCGTCGCCCCAGTCCTTCAGCTGGGTTTTATAAAACCTTTTCACTTTAGGCCTCCACCGCCATGTGCAAAAAAAAAAAAAAAAGATTCAATCAATCAGTCAATTTCAACTTCTTGCGGGGAAAAAAAATCTTGCAAAGTTGGAATTGATTGATTGAACTTTTTAGTCCCACCCAGTCTGCCGTTACCACTGCAGCCACGCCCAGCCAATGGACCACACCCACCCGGCACCTGACGATGCATAAGTGGGTTTTGGGTTGCAGTTCGGGCACTCAATCTCTAAAAGGTTCGCCATCACTGATCTAAGTGATGGCTTATCTAAAGAAGTAAAACTTTACATGGTGAAAATTTCCAGTACTCATTTTATTGTATAAGATTTTGTTGAACTTTTTTGTTTAAGATTTCACTGAACATCTTTAAACGGTTAAATGTGTCTTATACTTTTTCAGTCATCAGTAGTGTGTTGGAAAGGTCTCATGGAAGTCCCTTCTTAGAAATAATGACACAATGCACAGGAATGCCAAGAAAGAACTTGGTCAGATTAATTCAATCCTATGGAAGAAATTCTGAGGAGAACACACAAGGAAGCAAATACTCTCATCAGTTTAAATTATCTTGATTGCAGGAAAAAGAAAGCAACAGTAAAGGATGTCTTTTTTCCCACATCAACAAAGTACAGTACAGACTTTTCTCATTCCCCCGTCCCCTTTATGTCTTTGACTAGAGAGACCTTGGTAACAAATTAGAAAAAAAGTTTCTTCAGTTTATAACACAGGGCCTTTAGTTCCAAAAGGACTCATTCAAAATTAGCAAAACATTCACAGAATGCCATTTACACAGTAGCTTATGGCTGTTATGCACATACTGTAATGAATTCAGCATGCGAAATAAGGAAACAAAGTACAGTATCTTTTAGTAACAATGATAGTGCATTCAGTATGCAGCAATAACAGCATTCCACAACCAATTATAATTTGTGCAAAAGACAACTGAACAAGCAACAAATCACAAATTACTATATTTTACTGCACCATACAAATTTCCACCTGGAAAATTATATTGAAAATCAATATATCATTTCAAAATATGGGCAGAGAAAATAGCATTTGCTAAATTAAATTTGAAGAGGCAATTAAAACATGTTAACTGTACATTTACATTATAACATTAATTTCAAAGAATTTGCTGTATGTCAACCTATATGTGAAGCACATCCTCTATCTCAGCACAAAAGCTGCTTCAGTTCATAAGATTGCGATGCTTAGAAGACACATGATGATCATGCTACCAAATGTTATTGTTATTTCTCTTAATATATTCTTGTACATAAGTTTTTGATTAGCTTTTCCTCAACCTAATGTCTTTCAGAAGTCTTAGATTATAATGTTTATTATTCCCAACCGACACATTGATGTTGGCTGGGGATGGTGAGGTTGCTGTCCAACACATCTGGAGAGGATCAGGTTAAGAAAGCTTAATATAGTAATGGAAAATAAAAATATTTGAAAGGTTGATTAAAACTGAACAATATGCAATCTTCTTGCCTATCCGCATATGTGCACATATTGTACTCTCTATTTAATGCATTCTGAATGTACCTATCTTTCTTTCTTACAGTAGCTTGTATGAATGCTTCAGCTATAACAGCATTTTAAGGCAAAAATATTTAAATGCATATTTAAAGATATATGCTTTAAAGTTGTATATTTATGTATATGCCATTGAAAATGACCAGGATATAAAAGTATCTTGCTGTGCAAATGGAAAGCTCATAATCCTGGCCTAAAGACAATATTGTAGCACAATGATCAGTAACCTTCTGCTGACATGAAGCCAAACAATGTTATAGGATGAGAACGAGACAGAGGCAGGACCATAATTTTCTTCCTGGGAGTTAAGGGAGATTTGGGAGGAGGTGCAGCATTTGTTTTTAATTCTCTTAAATCATTTTGGGAGTTGAATTATATTTGTATGCATTACACATCAAAAGGTCAGGAAATCATTCTTTGATTTTTGGCAACCTTATAAGAAGGCCAAGTGGTATAAAATAGGGAGTAAGAGGACATATGAAGCCCTGGTACCACCCTATTCCATAGTGTGGCATTCTGAAATATTGTCTCCAGGTATAGCACTGCCATTTAACTATCTCTAATACAGGGGTAGTCAACCTTGGCTCTTTTATGACTCGTGGACTTCAACTCCCAGAATTCCTGAGCCAGCCATGCTGGCTCAGGAATTCTGGGAGTTGAAGTCCACGAGTCATAAAAGAGCCAAGGTTGACTACCCCCTGCTCTAATAAATATTTACTGAAACTTTCTTGCATACATCCAACCACTTTAGGAAAATAAACTGCTACATCAAACTGAATAATTTGGTATGTCCTGGATCAGCTATTACCCAGTTTAACGGAGAGAACTCGCCCATTTAGATTTTTTTTTCCATTTCCACCATTCCTTTTCATTGTTTAAATCTTGCATTAAGGTAATCAACGGTACCTGTACACATCTCCATGCTTCATAACACAGCCTAATAAATCAAGGAAAACAGAGCCAACCTACCACCCTCCTTAGGATTTTAGCCAGCGCTGCTGCAGACAAGTTTGTGCCTGTAACTCTATCGAGGTGTTTGCCAGATAGCGTGGAAAGTTGGCTTCGACAGACCAAGATTTGCTTCTACAGTAACTAGGGAGCCGATCCACCGAAAAGGAAGTGACACCTTACAACCGCATGGACCATTTTTACAACATTTCCCCCCTCCCTCTTTTAACTAACCGCACGTACTGTGTACACTGTCACATGGAAGGGAAAAACCCAGCACAGCAGGAAGATTATCCTGCAGGGAGAGGGGAGCAGGAAAGCCCTCCGAGAAATAAAGACAATGGCTTCACGTCCAACGGGGGGGTGCAAAGTAAAACTGGCACGATTTCAAAGAAGAGGACCGATCCTTCTTCGACTTAAGACGCAGGGGAGAGGCCAGCTGGACTAGGCCGGGAATACCACCCACACCCTGGCAAGGCTTCCTCCACCACCGCACCGCCCTCTCCTCCTTGCTGTCCATGCACCCACCCTTTCACCACGAAGAAGGGGTCCTCCATGGACATGACGCCTGGCGCCCGTCGCGGAGCGGGCTTGGCTCGAAGCTGTCCCCCACGCCGTGCCGAGAGCTTCCAAGGCTTGCAACCCCCAGCTCGCTCCTTCCTACGGGCTGGAGCGGCGGCGGCAGCAGCAACGCCTCTCTTCGCCCGCCCGCTCTTCTCTCCACTCTGAGCGGGTTTCAGCGCCCTCGGCCCTTTCAGGAGCCCCTGTCACGTGAGGAGGGAAAGCGACACTCCCTATTGGAGCAGAAGAACGTCCACCTCGCCCCACGTGACGAGGTAACACGGGAGGCTCCGCCTTCCCGTCTGAGCGTGCGGCCGAATGAAATGCGCCGGGGAGAGGAGGGGTTCGTAAGGAATCTGGGGGAGGAGGTGGAGGTAGTCGTTGTAATCTCAGTTCATTGGGTTTCTGTGACATGCAGGCAGGTTTTTAAAAAGTTCTCTTTCCAAAGGAACTTTTAGAGCCCCAATGGCAATTCTTATATTTATTTATTGCATTAATATCCCACCTTTCCTCCTGGGCTTTAGTATAAACTAGCAGGGGTAGGCAACCTTGGCTCTTTTATGACTCGTGGACTTCAACTCCCAGAATTCCTGAGCCAGCTATGCTGGCTCAGGAATTCTGGGAGTTGAAGTCCACGAGTCATAAAAGAGCCAAGGTTGCCTATCCCTGGACTATAAAGCATTTCTTCCAGTTTTATGTTCAGGAGGACAACAGCCCTGTGTGGACTAAGAGAGAATCACCTAGTGAGTTTCCATGACTACAAGTGAATCTGGGTTTTCCTGTGTCCTAGTCTAACAATTTACCTAGCCAAATACAAAACTACTGTATCTCAAAAGGAAAAGGTAATTGGTAAGTCCTGGAATTGGGCTACCGTACTGTACTTGCAAAATTCTGGACTACTAGCTAACAGCAGGGACTCAAAAGTACTTTTGAAAAGTACATTTCATTTTTGTTGCCCAGTTATGGTATCTTGATAGACATTTTAAATCATCTCTCTTTAAATTAATTAGTTTTATTCTTTCTACTATAATGTCTCTCTTTTCTGATACATAAAGCCATGGTATATTTAAGCATGGTTTATTGAATAAATCACAACAGCTGATTCATGCAATTACTTTGCGAACTGCAATAGCCAAATTCGCACAATACTCTCCAACATATTTTGACTTAGAATATTATGCAAACTTAGACAATATATCATTCCCAACTTTTGTTTTGTAAAGAGCTGCTGTCATTATCACATCTCATCCAACCAGAGGATACATGTATTGGATATTTACCCGCTAACTCAGGGTGATCTTTCTGAGGAAATGGATTTAATCTATGTAAGTGTTTCTCAGTCTTACCTGCATTTGTGGACTATTAAATAAGAATTAAGAAAATATAGAGAGACCAAAATAACAAAACGAGCAATCCCTCTGTCCTTTTGATTTCATCTAATAATTATATTAGATGTTCCATTTGTTAATATTTTCCTCCCCCTGCATTTTAAAAGGCCTTTTATCATTGCAACAGAATGCTTCTCTCCATTTATGTTTTACTTCCCCAGCAACTAATCCTGGCTTCAAATTTTGTTTGCACAAAACAAGAGAATTTCCTGTTTTTAATATACATTGTTTTTACATGTTTGTTTCACTAACCTGTGGTTTGTTTAGTTATGGTTTGTTAAATTGGACGCATTTGCCTAACACATTAAGTTATAAATTATGATTTAGAAATCATAGTGGCCACATTATAATAAGACTAGCATCTTGAGCGACTTCATACCATCAAGATACTGCACACTCATTCTTCGTGGTAAGTTATACTAATTCCGTCTGCACAAACATTTTTGAGTCAGTTTCTGGCTTCTGACGACTGGGCTCATTCCTGCAGTTTTTTTGGCAACATTTCAGAAGTGGTTTATGTTGCCTTCTTCCCAGGGCTGAGAAAGAGTGACTGGCTCAAAGTCAATCAGCTGGTTTTGTGTTTAAGATTGGAATAGAACTCACAGTCTCCTGGATTCTAGCCTGATGCCTTTTAATCACTATATCAAACTGGCTTTTTCAATAAAATGCACTACAGGGAAAAAGAAGACCGATTGCTCTCCCTATGAAATTATAAAAATCTGCCTTATCCAATTGTATCTCCATACTGAATCCACTCCAACCCACTGGCACAACGCAATCTGCCTCGGGGCTTCATACCTCTTTCCCACAGACAAAATACATCTAGCCTGCTAAAATTAATATTACAACATCATTGTCTCTCATCATCAATAAAAACTAAGGACCAAACTGTTACACAGTAGGATGTATCTTACTAGATGTTGTTACTCTCATTCATCAAGGAGGTCAGCATACAGCCTTGACTGTATGTCCATCTTTTACCAATGCACAGATATGCTGTCTCTTGACATCAAAGGCACTTTTCAGTCATTAAACTTGCATCAGGAGCCATGAAGCACCAAGGCTGCCCCAGTTTCTTGTTCATACCAAGGAAAAATTCCCAAGACCCTCTCATTCACTTTTTTCTCTGTTCCTCCCCCGCTTAAGCAGCTTGGATTTCTGAATGAGGTTCCTACTTTTACTAGGAGGCTACACTGTCATTGCATTTTGAGACATAAAACAAAAAAAATGGTGTCTTTGTACCTTTTTTTTAAAAAAAGAACAAAAATGGTCAAAAATTACTGGACCTTCCTTCATTTTACAGGGCACTGTCTATTCTGTTAGCTTCTTTTGTTACATTTTTGCCTGACCTATTTGCTTTTGGTGTGAATTGAAGCGGAATTCCCAGGGTCTGGGTCCCACTGTCCTCTCCCTCAGGTATTCCATTGTCACCCAATTAACAGCAGAAAAACAGCAGAAAAAACTGTTACTAAGGCTTTTTCCTCCCAAGTAATGTTGAAAGAGAGGGGGACTGTCTAATTCCTTCCTCTCTTTATCTTCCAAAAACGGTCTCCTCTGTTTGAGCTTCTGCAATATGTTTTCAAGGGATGACAATACTGCAAAGATGCACCGCAATAGGATTCCTCTCATTGGTAAGAGAGACAACAAAACCCAGCAGCAGTTCAAGAAGAGCATCGTGTTCGCTGCTCTGATCTGGTTCTAAAACTTTTTTTCCATTACAGATCTTGGTTGTTGACATATTGCCAGAGATAATTCTTTCATCTTCTCAGAGATGTACAAACACCATGGGAGCCCACACAAGCTCATTCAATCTGACTTGATCAACCAAAGATGCTTGTTAGAAGGCTTTTGCCCTGCAAAGCAATAGCTTTTATTAGCTGAATAAAACTGATTGATTTTTTTACATTAAGCCCCCAGGCAGCCCCTTCTCTTTGCAAGGTTGCTTCAGGCAGCAAAGATTTTCTTTGCCTTTGTGGAAAAAGGGAATTCTCCCAGCAGAGGGATAAAGATTTCACCTTGCCTAAATTATCATACTACACTACTGACGGGTGCCTTTCATGCTGATTCTGCCCTTCTCTTTACAGATCCAGAATGTATTACTACAAGAGACAATACAGAGAAAACTTTAATATTAATAATACTAGGACATTATAAGGGTCACAATGCAGGTTGTAGAATAAGGAAGTTAGGCTCTTGATAAATCAGGATTAGGCCACATGCCTCTAGACACTTCCTATTTATCTGCAGTGTCCTGTGGAAACTAGGGATTCATTATTATTTTTTAGATAGATGGAAATGCCTCAGACTGACATGGATTTCAACTACCAGAAATCTTTTTGAATAACTCTTTGTTATTCAAGAGGAAAAAGAACCATGGGCTCAGAGAAGTGATTGCAGGCTTTGGGGTTTGCAACAGTAAATTTGTGAAGTCAGCTCCTAAGAGAACCATTTGGTGATGGCTTCCCTGAGGCTTTTGTTTGTTAAGATTCCAAATGTTCAAAATTTCAAGTTGCTTCTCATCAGCTCAACATATCAAAAACAAATATAATAAACCATGGTTTATTTTAAATAACCACAAGCCTGCAGGAGAGCAAATATAGGAACTGAAATCCAATATATCTAGATTACTAACATTGTGGTGTTATGCAGTTCATGCTGGTTTTAAGACATATTTAATTTCTGATTGATTCCAGTGGCTTTTATAGAGAGAAGAGGAGGATCTATTTTGGCAGCAACATCAATACATTGAAACTTTGAAACCCACTGACCAAATAACTGTAAAATCTGTGGTGCAAACCTTGAGAGAAGATTTATAAGAAGATTTTGTTCTGGGCCTTCTGGGCATCAATACATCACTGACACGCTTGGATACAATATTGAAGTTGTAGCTCTAGTCCAGTGATGGCGAACCTTTTAGAGACTGAGTGCCCAAACTGCAACCCAAAACCCACTTATGCATTATCGAGTGCCGGGTGGGTGTGGCCAATTGGCTGGGCATGGCTGCGGTAGTAACAGCAGACTGGGTGGGACTAAAAAGTTCAATCAATCAATTCCAACTTTGCAAGATCTTTTTTTTCCCGCGAGAAATTGAAATTGACTGATTGAATCTTTTTTTTTTTTTGCACATGGCGGCAGAGGCCTAAAGCGAAAAGGTTTTATAAAACCCAGCTGAAGGCCTAGGACTGAAGCGACGTTGCGCGTGCCCACAGAGAGGGCTCTGAGTGCCGCCTCTGGCACCCATGCCATAGGTTCGCCACCACTGCTCTAGTTCTAATAGAACGTGATATCTTAATGCAAGAGTGAACTCTTGCAGACATAAAATTTTCATTCTGCTCAACTGTTAGGTGCTCTAGTATAATATTCTGCCATCGACAGCAGCCAAGAAAAGGCCTCTGAAAAATGCAAAAAAGTAAGAACTGATGTTGCTCCCTGCTTTAGTAAACAGTGAGAGAATACTTCTACAGATAGAAGTTTCATGTTGCTATTATGAGTGTAGAACTTCAATAATTCATTTAGGACACATTGTTAAGTAGATTGATTGGATTTATGTTTCTTTGATTACTATATGGAAGAGAATGCAAAATGGCATACAAAAATTCATGTTTAAGGATCACCCTAATAAAAATGTTTATTTTAGGATAAAATATGTATTTTGTTATCTTAATGCAGTCTTTGAGTATCTTTTTTAAAACAATAAAGGTTTGCAGCTAGAGGTGGAAACAAGGTGGAAAGGATT